TCAATTGCTTCGTTCAGTTATGTTACTGAGTTTTTCAATTATTTAATAACTACTTGGTTGCTTTTGAACCGCCACTGCTTTCTTAAGTTTATGTTGATTAGCCAGTTAGCAACCTATCAGAGTAAACTCTTTGTCTTCAATTTTCTCGAAACCCATCGCTCTGGGCGATGTGCAACAAGAGTATCTTTTTTTGTAGGAAAAAGTATGTAGTTTTCAAAAAATAAATCCACGTTGCAAAAAAAAATAACCTCAAAAAGTTATTCACAAAATAACCCCCTACCCTTGCAGATACTACCCTTTCCGCTTTTTGAAATAATTTTTCAGTATCACCATTTGATTTAGGGTCAAAAATTTATGGCGGAGGATTTTTGTCGAAATTTTGTCTCGTTTTTTAAGCCTACAACAGCCGTTTTTAAATTCACCTTTTCAGTGTCCCTAACTCCTTAATATGCATTTTCCACCCTATACTTATAGAAACTTTTTACTATTTTTAGGAGTACTATCACCCCCCCCGATTTTTTTTACACCATTTCAATGACACCCCTGTATACGGCGTCGTATAGATTTGCTACCTGCAATGTATGTAGAAAATTCGCTCAGCTTTTTATCGAGTATGTCGCATTAAAATTATTGGATTTCAATTTATTTTATTCTACGATCGCTTGCGTTCGTCGCTCGTTCACTTGCATCGCTCGTTCATATTCGAGCGATGTCGATTATTTCAGTAATCGAGTAGGTTAGGTTAATCGAGTAGTTATCCCATCACTAGTTCAGTGTATGTTTGTTGTTATTGAATTATTATTCATAAAATAATTTATTTATTTATTTTGTGTTTTCTTATTCCTGTACAAAGAGAAATTTTTGTGAAGTTTGAAAGCAAGGAGTAGTTAGTTCTTTTTAATGGATTTTTTGTATGTCGTGTTTTGTTTAACATACAACCTTGCTTATTTTAATATTAACACACTGTAAATTTCTATTTTTGAAATACAATAACTCGATTAGATTTTTCAGTTTTTATACAGATTTTTTTTTTATAATATTTAAGTAAAAAAAAAAAAAAAAATTTTTAAATATGTTAACATTCCTGCTTTCCAATGGTACGAGTTTATTTCTTTGTAAAATCAAATAAACTACTTTAAAATTAAAATGACAGACATAAATAAATATATAAATAAAAGAGTTAAGTATTCAAAATATAAAAGTGGATATGGCTAAAAAAGAAATTAAAATATGCTGTGTCATAGTTTTACTGGACTTGTCGCCATCTGGCGCAAAGAGAAGGACCTGATATTGATCGGATTGAAATGCAGAGGGTTGAATCCTATTTTCACCCCTTCCAACTGTTCGCACGACATGACTGATGGCGTTCCTGGAAATTTTCCATTGCTAATGGAAGGGTATAATAATAGATGTTTTATATATCAGGCAAAATAGAGATAGCTTTGCTCGATATATGTTACACTATCCTGATTTAAATCCTAATCAGAGAATGACATAGTTTAAGAATCAAGCGATAATATATACCTACTTTTTTCTGGTTGAAAATTGCAATTTATCAGCAGAAATAATGTATAAACCGTGGAATATTGCTATAAATACACAAAATATTATATGTTTATCAAATTAAAATGCGCAAACTTTTGGAAGGCTACTAGATTTTTAAAAAAATGAGAACCAAATTCCAAAAAAAGAAATGGCAGTCAAGTTGTCTGGAAAGACTAATATTAAATAAAATTAATTTTGCATTGTTATAATGTTTAAATATTTGTTTTGTTTGATATTATTATGGTTTTTCCAAAGTAATAATTATTGACCTTGACCAAGAGGAAAAAGGTAAATAATAAGACGTATTGTTTAGAAAAATAATTTAATTCTTTATTTAAATTATCTCTTGGCTTGATTTTTTTGGATTTAGTTTATTATTTATTTAACACAGTATCCAGTATCTGAAAAGAAAAAACAACGTTATTATCCAGATATTGCGGCAATAGCAATTTGATTATCTAGATATAAAATAAATGACTGAATAATGATAAAATATGATTAGAGTATAAAACAAAAAAAAAATAAGCAAAAAAAAGATAAAATTAATGTGCAAATACATTTTATATGTATTAATAATTTATACGTTTACGATTATCAAATATTTTCTTGTTTTTAAATATAATATATACTTTAGTTTTTTTTATCGTTAAATGTTTAAGGGAGATTTTTTTTTAAATATCTACCTCTTCCTGTTCTATCGATAATCCATTGCAAATATTCTGTAACTCTCGTATTTAGTCCAGGGGTATTGGAAGGGCAAGGTTTTCCATGACTAATTATTCCAACTAATACATATCTTTCGGTGCTTGTATCATACCATATTACAGGTCCTAGAAAATTTTATAATCAATGATGTAGACAATATAGACCCGAAATTATTTTTACTTATGGTTGGTTTACACAGTATGATCGAAAAAAAAAACGGCGTCAGCGATGGCTATAAAATAAAGATCGCTGTCATTTTATATATGTAAAAATATATGGAGAATGTCATCGATCGTCATTTCCTAACCAATTGGACGCCGTTTTTTTTTCGACCATACCTTACTTCCAGTCGTACAAATCAGAAATCCCTGAAAAGACCATTACAACCATATTCTTAACCAAGAAAACAACCTCAATATGGAAGCACTAAACACAATACCTCAGTATAACAACATTCAAGTATTATTTACCCCAATAACGGAACAGACAATAAAGACCTCCAGCTTAAAAACAACAAATTGGTTGGATGTGAAGTAATTCCAGCGATTTCCGCAGAAATCTATATATAAGTGTACAAGTAAAGGACTTATTGGTCACCTTAACGGTCTTTTCGATGTCATATGGGAAAGCGAAGTGGTACTCAGGGCTTTCGCTATGCGAATATAATGAATATATTCAAGAACAAAGGAAGTGCATCAGATTGCAGAAACTACCTGGAAATTTTACTACTGGCTATCGGGGGAAAAGTCCTTGCAAAAATTATATCAGACCGCCTGCACCCACATGTAGAAAAAATCCTACCAAAATCGCAACGGGTATCGCAAACCAACTGCGGTACCGTTGGTTCCATATTCTTCGTCCGCCAACTACAGGAAAAAGTAAAGAAGAAACAGAGTAAACTTTATTTTGCATTCATCGACCTAACAAAAGATTTCGAAGCATAAACACTCCTCGAAAAAGGAGAGAGAGTAGTCGTAGCGGTAGAACCCAAATACATGAAAAACGTTTCAAATAATGATAGAAGCAAACCATTTGGTATAGGTGGTATATACACATAAACAATCGATTTGACCTGCAGCACCTTATTGCAAGTGGAGACAAATTCAAAATGGCGGCGTTTTTTTAGAATTACTGTTTTTTTTTGTTGTTTTAAGTTTTTTAATCGATTAAATTAATAAGTGTATTTTGAATTCAAATGCTAATAATAATAGGATTAATACTACACTAAGTAGATAAAATTCAAAATGGCGGAATTTAGTTCTGTATTATTAGTAGTTGCGAGCTCAATCACCTACGCGCGAGATATAAGTTTTGGTTCAAATCAAAAATTTATTACAAGCAGCAGCGCACCAAGAAAGTAATTGTGAGAAGACCCCTTTCCGTCCCCCCTCCCCCCCCCGAAAAATCCGAAGAAAAAAATATTAAATTTCCATATAAAATATAAACCTTTTACATTAAGTATTGTTACGAATTTACTCTATCCGTGGGTCCCAATAATTCAAAACACTCAGTACAACAACGACTTGACTTTATTAAATTCACTTATTAAAAATCCACAATTATTTTACAATATTTCAATTATTATTCAGAACTTTACTGTACAACGTAAAAACTTAAACTAACTAAAGACTAAACGCGTCTGCCTTAAGGTCTGTTCCCAGAAGAATCTCTGACTAGTCAGCGCGTTTCTTATTGGTTGAAATGCGTAGAAACCTGACTAACAATCAGGTTTCTACGCATTTTAACCAATGAAAAACGTGCTGACTAGTCAGGGATTCTTCTGGGAACAGACCTTTTATCTTCCGAGAAGTGGTCAGTGAAGTTTTCGCGCGTCGCGCGTCGTAACGGTCTCCAAATCTTATGTTGAAAAAGATGCCGCAAAATTGGGAGCATTGCGCATTGATATTGTATGGAATCAATATGTAATTGATAGCGTTAAAAATACTGTCCGTGAAGAACGAGGACATGGAATTCGCAGCCAAGTAACCGGTCTAACACACTTGGCCTAAAAAAATCATATTTGATATAGATGCTCTTGGCGACAAGGCTAGCGCTCTTCCTGGGTTTCATGCTTTTACAGGATGTGACACGGTGTCTTTCTTTTCTTACAAAGGAAAAAAGTCTGCCTGGAAAACATGGAATTCGCAGAGCGATAAGGCAACCAAAGTTTTTCAAGCGATTTGAAGCCCATCACTGTCTTCCATTCCGGACGGTGTCAAAGTTCTTGCTTACCAAGCTGGTCAAGTCTGGGGTCGTTCTTACGATATGGATAACGTAACGCCATCACCTAAGGGATGGGGCTGGATTGAAAAGAATTCAAAGTAGACTCCCCTATGGTCTGTACTTCCAAATGTATGGCAGACATGCCAAGAGCTAGCTAAATGTTTAGTGGCGTCGCCAGAGGGAGTGGCGTCGCCTGGATTAGCTTGGGCCCACTAATGGCCCGCCCGCGCAATGTCCAGAAAATATAATCAACAACTAAGATATGGTAAATTATCTGGCCCACCCGAATAAAACCTGGTCCCAGTGCTGGCCCACCCTGAAAAAAATATCTGGCGACGCCACTGTAAATGCTCCTGCAAAACTGGATGTCTGCAGTAGTAGATGTAAATGCAAAAGAAGTGGTCTTCCATATACACTGCAATGCAGTTCCTGCAAAGACATGTGCACCAACAATGTAATTCAAAAGTTGGTATTTTTAAATATTTTTATATTTTTTCGAGCTAGACCAACAAAAAGTTTCTAAGTAGACTTATTATTTTTAATTTTATATTTTAGTTTAGAAGATTCCGAAGACTAAGGAATGGTATCCGGCGCCATTTTGTCAAAAATCACGCCATTTTATTTTTTTTTTTTAAAAACGCTGTACTTTTAATAAATTATAAAAATTAAAATTGCTATTCTATTAATTTCAACCCCATTAGTCTCATAAGTTTTATTAAGTTAAGCTGCGCCATTTTGAAAAATTCTGCCATTTTGAATCTGCCTACACTCCTGATAAGGTGCTGCGGGCCAAATCAACCTACTATATGTAAGTAAACTTTCTGCCAAGCGGTTTTATTCTATCACGATTTGAAACGTTTTTTGGTCTACCGCTACGACTAGAGAGAGCGAGAACCTCTAACCTCTGCTTCAGCAAGGAAAGAAAAAGACAGGATAGAAACCGTCCAACACCGGAAGGCAAGCAGGGACCTATGACCAGCTTTGCCAGAACTTCAGTGTAAGGATATTAAAGTTGGCGAGTTATCAACTCGAGAGAGGGGGACTATATTTAGGTCCTTACAATAGAAATTGACTTCAAATCCAAGGAGGCAATAGAGGAAGAGAGATATATCCTCTATTATAGATTCGGGACAACACCGGTATGAGGCTTAAATAGAGACCAAGTTAAGTGAAAATGGAGACAGATCCTCTAGCCTCCATCTCACGGGTGCCTTAGCCGGAGGCAAGCTCCTCGACTCTGAAGGGCAAGGAGGGCCAAACCCCTACCGTGGAAGGGTGTATATCCTCGTCAGGATATCCTCAGATCAATCGGAGGAGGTAGATGTCCACTCTTCGGGGGGTGAACATTTGTTGTAAAATTAGGATGGGAAATACCCAGGTCCCCCTATAATAGGAAGATCCCCAGTATGTTAAGTTATAGACTGTATGACGAGTTATAACTCAAGAAAGGGGGACACAATCATAGATCTTTAGGGTTGCGGTGATTAACCTCCCTTTTACTTATTATACATTCTACATGAACTAATCCATACTTTATTTTACTTGTAACATGTAGTTTTTATTAATATCCAGTCTTAGTATAAGTTATAGTTGTACAGCGTTCTTAATACCTATTGGCTAAAGACTGTCCCATAAGAAAAGATATGATTTTGACAGACGACATATATAATATTTGCAGTCTATTAATTCTGAATGTTTTTAGGTGACAACTATTTTACTTTTATCGATAAATTAATATATCATTAATTTATCTACAAGTCACAAGTTAAACTTACCTCCTGAATCATGTTGACAGGAATCTTTCTCTTTTTCGTATGTACACAATTCGTTGTAACTAGTAGGTGGCTGGTCAAAAAAATTACATTGTCTGGTTGATAAAATTGTTAGATCGGCTCTTTGTAACGTGTTTGAGGGTACACCAGAAAATTTTAAAAGTCCCCAACCTGTAATTGAGAGAAAACTATTTTATATTCAAAAAAACAAGAAAAATAGCAGTTTTAAAAAGTATCAAAGTTGTGATTACAAGAAAAACATTTTGTAATAACAACTAGTGATATGTTTTGTCAGATAGTAGTGTTAAAGTTAATAGTTATACCTAAAATTGTTCCAGTTTGTCCAGCAAAATCATAGTAAGTATGTTTAAATGGCAAACAAACAGGTCTTATAGCAGGACCAAATTTTATTACAGTACTTGTTTGAATGATTCCAATATCATTTCGCCAGGAGGTCATATTGAACCAAGGATGGATTTCGTAGGCGCTAACATGGTATAACTTGCTAGCATTCGTATCTCGACCTATAAGATATAATATTATATAGAAATGTAATACATTCTTTATTATGTCATACTATCCGTTCAGTAATAAATTATTATTTATTATTTCAGGGTAACTTCTGTAGTCTAATAACAACACTACTCTATCCTTTTGTTTAGAGGCTTTTATAATTTTTAGCCGACCATATCGTATGGTAGGCTATTAAGATCGGCAAATTTTTTTTTTAATTTCATTAATTGTTATGGGAGGGGGTCAAAATAAAAAAAAAATCGTAGCTCCAAAATTACAGTAGCTAGCGAAACGCGGTTTTCAATTTAAGATTAGGAATAATATTTGCAACAAAATTTGTAATAACATCAGAATCAGTCAAAGTCGCAGTTTTTGAGATAAAAAAAAATAGAATATTGTTTAAAAAATTATAACTCAGAAACAAAACAGCTAGCAAAACGCGGTTTTCAGGTTTTCACCTTTTATATACGGAAATATATTTTAAACAAAACTTAAGATAATATCAAAGTGTGTCGAAGCCGTAGTTTTTGAGATAAACCGGCTGTATGTGTCACCTGGTGCCAATTTTTTTCATTAAATCATTATTTTTAACAATTTTTTTTTGGAATATTTTAATTGTTAATTTTTAAAAACACGCTCTAAAATACCGGGAATCCGGCTATTAAATTTTAGTGGGGGTGGGGGGTTGGTAAAGGGGTAGGAGAGGGTGTTCAAAATTAAAAAATCTCAAAAAAATATATAAAACTTATTTAAAAAAAAACAAAAAAAAAGAAAATCCGCGTGGAGAACTCCAAACTCCCATCGGACGTGACCCCAGCTGGATAGGGAAAACAACCGCGGACCAAAATTGGAAAAATTCCTTTACTTTCAAACTAAAAGAACTCCCTACCAACTTTTTATTAACATATTTTAGTATGGGCGGCTATACGTGCCTCCCAGCGCCATTTTTTCTCAAACGTCACTAAAGCAATAATTTTTGCGACGTGATTGACTACAAAAAATGTCATTTTAACGCCTAGGCATAAAAGTAAAGTATGTCTAAGCACAAAAGTACGAAAATATATTATTAAACTGATATAAAGTGTCAAATTAAACGAGCGTAACCATAGTTTCTCGATATACATATAATTACTTACGAGGTATTACTTTTAAATATTTTTATATTATTTGGAACGATTGAAATTGTTTAAATCATTATTTATGGCGTTTGAAAAAAAAATAACATGTCTACATTTGACGTCAAACGTACGGCCTTGTCACAAATAACTTATTATTTCGTAGATTACAATTGGTATTATTTCGTAGATTACAGTTGGGGGTTGGAATCTTTGGTGTTACAACATTAAAATAAAACACCAATTCACCACAATACATTTGTACTTGATACACCTTTTGCTAACTATATTAGCATCATCAGCAGATGATTAAAACAAAACTAATATTTACAAATTGAGCGTTTATATAGGATTGAAAAAATTGAAAGAGAGAAACGTTTGCTCAGCTTTGTTAAAGACCATACTATAACGTGGTATACTGATACTTCCAAAACCAAAGCAGGGACAGGGATAGGAGTATTTAGGGCGAAAACTAAATACTCCGAACCAATGGGTTCCTCTCCTCAGCATCCTTCAGACTGAAATCTACGCTATCGAAAGAATATTATATTCTACCTAAGATGTCAATCAAGATAGGAACTATCGAAAAAGAAAATAACCATCTAATCTAATAGTCAAGCAGCACTAAAAGCGATCACCTCAATAACCATCAATTGGAAGTTGGTCAAAGAATGCCTAGAGAAGCTGAACCGTTCGTGCCAAAAACTTTTTTGTATTGTATTTAATAAGAGTGGACATAAATTTTGGCACGGCTGATGTCGAAGATGGAGAGCTGGCCTCTGTGGAGCCGTTGCAGATACGGGCTTCTGGCAAAGCCCTGAGACTGTATGATGATATTACTCGTTATAATTCAAGAAAGGGGTCCACACAAGAGATCTGTAAGATCGCGGTGGTTAACCCCCTAAACATTCTTAAGTTTATATAGGCGCTCAGTTGGCACTCGTCAATCGTGGCAAAAGTATCCAAGCGAGTCAAAACCAACCGAGCGTAACAATTAATTATCGATACTAGAGCAATAATAACAGAGAACTAGAGGAAATTGGACCATTATCTCCTGTTCATATTATCTTTACATTTATTAATTTTGACGCTCCCATATGCATCTAATTTTCTGTAGTTTGAGACTGGTTTAGCTAATTCTAAATTATTACTATCTATACAATGACCTTTGACAACAATGCCGGAAAGGGGATGTATTTATGGAATTTCATGTAAAGATTGTAATCAGAAATATGTTGGTGAGACTAGAAGATCAACATTAACTAGATTTAAAGAACATATGACTCAGATAAGAAATGGTAGATCGGATAAATCTTGGCGTTGCTCAACATATTGTTGATAAAGATCATTGTATAGATATTAATAACTTAAAATTCAAATTACAGGCAATTAGATAAAGATAAGAGCATCAAAATTAATAAATGAAAATATAATATGAACAGAGATAATGGCCCAATTCCTTCCATGTAGTTTCAGTGATAAATTGTTACACTAAGAGCTCCTATAAAAACACTCATTTTGTAGATATTATTAATTTAGTTTTAATTATCTGCTGATGATGCTAACTAGATTGGAGAAACGCGCATTCAGTGCGTTAAGTAGAGTGTATTTTGGTGTATTGTGGTGAATTAGTGTTTTATTTTAGTTTTGTTTAAAAATTCATCCTTAAAAAATAGTGATAAATTTATATAATACCTGTTGATAAATCATGATCTCCTACTAATATCAGCAAATCATCAGGATTTGTTTGATATATACAGTGTCCAGCTGTCAATAAATATCTATTAGCTATAATCGTGCATCCACAAAAAAAATCATTCTTATATATGACACCTGCCATAAAAGGAAATTGGTTAATTCCTGTTTCCTGACCTCCAGTAATTCTAGTCTAAATATAAAAGTCCAAGTAAGAATAGTCAAATAAAAATATGACATGATCTTAATTAAGTACAATACGATCGAAATAAAACGGCGTCAGCGATGGCTATGAAAAGAAGATCGCTGTCATTTTATATACTGTATGATCGAAAAAAAAACGGCGTCCAGTTGGCTTGGAAATGAACATCAATGACATCACACATCCCCATATAATTTTACATATAAACTGACAGCGATCCTTAAATTCATAACCGTCGCCGACGCCATTTTTTTTTCGATCATTGTGTTGTATAAAATAATTATATGGAGAATGTCATCGATCGTCTTTTCCAAGCCAACTGGAGGCCGTTTTTTTTTCGATCATACTGTACTAAGGTTATTTATATTTAGTATCGTTATAGTTGTCATACCACAGCCAGCTTGTATACATATGATCATTGGCATGAAAATTTTCGTACGTACCAAGATATTCTTATATCTTTTGTTATGGATCAAGTCGAATTTTTTTTTTTAAAAACGATTGAGACTGCTGCACTGACTGCTGGCACATGTACGAGAATAGGTGTAGTAGGTGCTAACAGGTCAGTGGTGTGGTGCAGAAAGTCGGCCTGGGGGCAATAAGGCTCTAAAGTTTCACACAAAGGCTTGATTGCTTGTGTCTAACGAAGACCATCAAACCAAATTATGAGTGTTACAAGGCAAAGGTATTTGTCATGCACAGGTTAATTCAATCAGCAATGTATAAGTAAAATCGGAAACTAATCGAGGAGCTAAAAGCAGACAATAAATTGTGAACACCGATAGTTGCAACAGCTCCAAAGTATCGCTTTACCAACAAATTTAAAATAATTATACCACACAGGGATAAAAAAAGTCTGGATAACTGATATACCTATTCAAGGTAAGGCATTCTGGTACACAGGTGGGGAAACAGGTGGGGTCTGCCAGCAGATTTCCTAATAATCTGGTATACAGATAACTCAAGAAAGTCAAAAGGCATAAGAGCTGGAATAGTAGCGTTGAAACAAGGAACAGCTTCTCTCTTAAGCATATACAAGGGTGTCACAGTTTGTGAACATGTGAAAATATCGGTAATCCATTATTGATTGAGAGAGGTAGGATAAGGTAAGAAAGAACACACGTCATTTTGACAGATAGCCAAGCATAGCTACAGGTATTTGATTCCACAGAGGTTAATTTTAGACTAGTGTGCGTACTCTAAATACATTAGGAGAACATCGCTATTTTTTTTTGCTATTTTATATGCCTGCGTTCCGGGATACGAACAAAGGCAACAAAAAGGCAGATAAAGTGGTTCAAGGCTCATCATTGCTATTCATAGGTTATCCAGAGTCCTTCTGCGGTCCTGTCAAATCAGTTACAAGAATGGATACAAAACATTGGATAACCAACAAATAACCCGAATTGTATGGTAGATATGTTATGAGACAGATGAAACAACTAAGAAATATCATATGACAGTGTATTTATTCAATACCAGAGTAAACTGTCATACGGTATTTCTTAATTAAGAAAGTTTAGTATTTAGTATTAATTAGAACGTTTATTATTGAATATTTAGTATGATGCAATTGTATTATTTTTTGAACGAGACTATAACTAATATTTTACTCAAAAACCTTATACCGGATGCATCTCAAAAGTGGCTCACTCCTATAACTTTTTTTATTTTTTCAGTTAAAAAACGAGATTTGGTATGTTAGTATAGATAAATTAGGATTGATTGACGTATTCAATTGATTTCGGTCACTTCCTGTTTCACCGGAAATGACTACAACTTTTGATTTTTAAATGGCACCCTAGGTATTTTGTTACCTTATTCGATAGAAATTGACACTGAATATAATGACATATCATATGTCAACTTTTGATATTTTCAAATATGGTTTATTTGAAATTGCAACATGCGGTTAATAACGATAATTTGGCTCTAAATACCAAATGTGTAGTATCAAATTATTTGTAAAAAAATGCTTTTTCCAAATATACTAATGAGCCACCCTAGATCCATTTGAAAAAATTGAGATATGATTAAAAATACGATTTTGGCATCTTTTAACCGGCCAGGACAAGACACTAAAAACATTAGACGATCAAATCTATTTTTCCAAGGCTCCTTGATTAAAAATTAGTGTCTTTAACACAGCCATGGCATTCTAGATTGGAATTTAAAGTACAATTTTGTTTTAAGGGAAACTGTCAAAAGTTGACATATGATATGTTATTCTATTCAGAGAGTCATTTTCTATCGAATAAAGCAAAAAAAAAATACCGAGGGTGCCATTTAAAAGTAAAAAGTTGTAGTCATTTCCGTTGAAACAGGAAGTGGACGAAAAAAATTGGATACGTTAATCAATCCTAATTTATGTCATATACTAAGACAACAAATTTCGTTTTTTTACCTGAAAAAATAAAAAGTTATAGGGATGAGCCACTTTTGAGAAGCACCCGGTATATTTTTATTAGTTTTTCCAGTTATGGTCTGAAGTTTTATTTTTTTTGCTAATTAGTTTTATAAACAATAGGTTACCTTGGTTGATTATAGTTGATAGTAGGTATTAATTACGAAACAGTTTGCCAAAACACTAGGAACTATTTTGTTTAAATTTTGAATTAAGAAAGTTTTAAAGCCTATTTTATTTAAGTTATCTATGTAAAGCTTTTATTATTTTTTTTTTTTGAAACTGTTGACACAGACTAATCTGTGCTGTTGATCAGTATTATAATCTACGGTAATAAAAAATAATTTTAAAAATGCTGCCATTTTAATGATTTATAACTGGAAAATTTAAATTGATTAACATTGAGTTATTCCAATTTCCATATATTGAATAACTTTGAATAGTTTATTGAATAAACTTCAACATCTTACCATGCCTTCCATCCCACAGTCACATCCTGTATTCTGGTCAGGTACACGTTCTGTTTCATTTCTGATTGACGTTATTTCACAATTTAGTTCACCACCTGGCGAATTCCAGGACGAAACTAAACCTATAAGGAAATGATACTACTTTGGAATATTAAGACCACGGTTAATTGGATTATGATGAAAATATTAAAGA